TTCCCCCTAACAACGTTCCACAATTGCCTCGACTGCGCTGGCGAATGGCGGTGTCAGTCACCGTCTAGCTCTGACGCCATTGGCTGGACACCCGCAGCTATACACACCGATGCACAAAAGTGCGCATGCACGCACGCAGACACGTTTGGCCGAGCCAGCCAGTCGGCCTTGAGTGGGCGGAGCCTGAAGAGGCGAAGGTAGTGCCCCAATCGTGTCCGCTTCGCCTCGCCTCTGAGCAGGCGATCGCTTGAACGAGCTCTGGTGGGGACGCGAGGCCGCCGGCTGGTCGGCTGGTCGGCTGGAGAGACATAGCCAGACGCACACGTTGCGCGCCCTTGGCTCACTCGCCGCCATCTCGTTCGCCTATCGGCCCGAGCACGTCTCGTGTCTGCCTGCCCCCCGGCGTGTTGCACGCAGGCGCACACAATTGGCACGTCGGGGCGCAGGCCAATAGACCGACTCAGAGGCTGCCAGACGTGGCCAAGTGGCCGCTGTGCCTGCCATGCCGCCGTGAGAGGCGCATAAGCGCGCGCGCCTCCACCACTGGGCAACTGGCTGGGCCAATCAGAATAGCCGGTCGGCTTGCCGAACCGGCCGCTTCGCCAAACCGTCAGACGCACAGGTGCACCGGTCGCTTCTCTCCCTCCTCGCCTCGCCCAGGCCTCTACCGATGCTGCCGGCAGCACGCAAACACACACTTACGTACACGCATGCGCGCACGCAAACAGGCAGAGAGGCACTCGGTCGGAAGGCCAGTCAGTCAATCTCCTTTGCGTCGCATCGCCGCCGTCCGCCGCAGTCTCTGCGAGGCCGCAAAGCATGCTCAACTCCTCCTCTGTCGTCGTCGTCGTCGTCGAGGCGAGCGAGGCGGCAGAGACCCCGTCCGCCCGTGCGTCTGTTGCCTCCGAGGCGGTGGCGGCAGGTCCGGCAATCCGTGCCATCCTGCAGGACCAAGCCATTCTGGCCCACTTGCACGCCTTCCTCGGCCGAGCCGGCCAACAGGAACCGCCTCCGTTCGATCCGCTGACGGCCGGACAGCTGGTCGATTTTCTGTTCGCCGGCCGCGGCTTTCGTTCCGCGCAGGCGGCCGGTCGCGCGAGCCGAAGTGACAAGCACGTGTGGTGCCTCGGCCGGGCCATTTGTCGGGCCTACCTGCGTCGGCCAAAGTCGGATCGATACGCCTCTGACGCGGCCGTCTCGGCCGACTGTTTCAGTCGGCCCGTCCGAGAAGCCGTCTACGCCGCGCTCGTGCAGACCCGGCCGGGCGCACGACGGACCGACGACGAAAGGGCGGCTCGCCTGCCGAGGAGGGTGGAGAGGCCGCGTGTCCGCCGCTTGACTGGTCGCCTCTTCGAGGAGGCCAGTCGCGAAGCCGAGGCCTGGCTGGACGCGAATGTGGTGCCATTTTTTCGGATTTACTGCTCCCGCCTCGCTCAGACCCGATCGCCGCAAGCCGGCCGACACTCCGCCTCGGAGTCGGATGCGTAAGCGACTAATCCTTTTCGCATGCACACACTCTAGGGCTGCACGAGACAAACACACAAAACTACAATGCCTTGTCCATGACGACGGAATTCGAGACACGCGCCCGGGAATCTGGAACTGAGGGCCTGAGGAGAATTGCTTTCATGCAAAGAGTTAGCGGGCTCATGATTTTAATTGTTGTCCTTGTTGCTGTCGCGAATGGTTGTTGGTCGGTAGATCGTTGTAGGAAGGACACTCTGCTCGTGTACCGTCTGTCATTCGACGCTAGAAAGCCTAGCGTCAACGGAATGTTCCATTAAAGCCGAATGACTGCCGGTCAAATGTAATCAGCCCTAGTCTTCTGGTGGACTCGACCTTAGAGCCTCTTCATTACACACACATAAACGCAAACACTTTGATTTGAAACAGAATTGAGCTCAACAAGTGTAGGCCAAGAGAGTGCTCGCGGCCAAACTTTTACTCTCCTTCCATACTTGCTTCCACCGAAAAACGAAAATATATTCATATTGAAATGAAAATAAACTGGGTTTCGATGAATATCTTGAGATAATATTGTTAGGGGGACTTTCAGTTTGTATGCAAGTGGATGAAGCAGAGATTCGTTGGTCGATTCATCCGTCCTCATCTGATGAGATTGACCAACGAATCACTTCTTCATTCACTTTCATGCGAATTACAAGTCCCGCTAATAATATTATCTCAAGCGATTCATCGAAATCCAGTTTCTCTTTATATCTACAAGTCAAGAATAGTATAGAGCTGGAGATGATTCCTTACTTTGACTAGGTGGATACGAAGAGAAACTTGGTTTTGATAAAACTACTGAGATAACATTGTTAGGGGACTTTTAGTTCGTATGAAAGTGAATGAAGAAGAGATTCGTCGGTCGATTCATCCGTCCTCATCTGGTGAGATCGACCAACGAATCTCTTCTTTATTCACTTTCATACGAACTGAAAGTCCCTCTAACCATATATTCATATAGTTAGATTAAATAATGTAGTTAGTTGTTTCTCGTCGTAACCTGGAGGCATATGCATCCATTTATGGGTATTGTAATTTGTATTTGTCCGTCATAACTCTGAGTAATTACCTCAATCCTGGATCACCGAGCCTACGATGACTGAGAATGGTTAGAACATTTTCAACTGAATTGAGGCAGTCTGCATCGGCATCATTGTCAAACTGGATGTTCCAGTAAAGCCAATCGACAGCTGGTCAAGATGAATCCGCCGTCGTCTTCGAATCTCTTCTCCAAACATTTTCACTTTAAATGGAAT